GGGGGGAATGGCTATCGGTGTTTTGCCCCGGGGCCTTGTGTGCAGTTGTTCCGCCACTGTTGCAAACCCTACTATTTACAAGGTAATAAAACTCTTACCTATATGTAAATGTGTGTGCAGTCTTAAATTAAAAATCTCACTCCAGCCAGCTGACCAAAGTTGGCAACTCTGAAAAAGCAGCAGCAAAAATAACGATAAAATAAATCCTGCTTTGATGTCCTGTACCTTACCAACGCCTCTTTATCCATATGATCATACTTTAGCCAAGTATATAAAGTTGGTCAAGAAACTGTGTTAGGCAAAAGCATGCATTTAGATTAAAATCTCCAAATCGACAACCTTAATATTTTAATGAAAAGGAAAATTTGGGGGGTGGTTCTTTAGGCTTCTTTCGAAAGTCTGCGGTTCAAATGTCCAGGCCAACATAGTAATGCCACCTTACGGTCCCTGAGCAAAGCCCTTAACCTCCAGACCAGGGTGCTGCATGCTGGCTGATCCTGCACTGTAACCCCCAAGATGGCTCTCACCTGCATTTGAGCCCCGCCTTTTTTTTTTGGCATCCCTGTATTTGAGTCTGTGTTTCTCATGTGGAACAAAATATGGTACAAAAAAGAGAACTTCACGGCAGAAAGAGTAAAGTAGCTGTATTCTGTTCTATTCTATTGCTTTAACATTTGCATGCAAGCTAAATTTATTTGTTTATTTATCCCACATATTAAAGGCAGAGGGCGCTGTCGCAGCGTGGTGAGAAGTCGATACGAAAATTAACAGTATTTTTACCGCCAGTTTTGCATATATAATTAAATATACGTATTAAATATAAGTATTTTATAACATAAATTGTATTACACGTTTATTGTGTTGTATTATTTTTGTTACATTAAGTTTTGTATCACTTTACATAAGCACTCTTCAAACCGTTCAGAACGGTAGATTACGGTCAGAATGAGAATATTACGTTTTGAAAGTAAACTTTAGTCCAGAGCGCCTACAAAGAGCTTTTTTAAGGGACATTTCGGTCACATAAGTTAGCCGGCTATCATCCGGACCACAGTGGCTGAAATGAACCTTAAGTCAACCATATTCCACGCAGACAAACTGCTTAGCCTGTGACTTTTACGATGTTAACCCTACTATAAAAAGCACTTGTCGGAAACAGCAAGCATAGGGGGTTTTATGGGTCACCGTTAGAGGAATGAAAACGTGCAACTGGTGCGTCGATCACTGTTCAGCATCAGATTTGGCGATAAGATACTCGTTTTTTTACTTGTATCTTGTGCAGTCCAGCCTGTAATATATTGCCCAAGACCCTGGTGGTTTTGATGTTACTTCCTTTCACTGTCACTTTGTGTCACAGCACAACGTGCATAACGGAGAAAACTCACACACAATGAGGAGGTCATTTATGCTATTTGTTATAGCCATTTCACGGTCTTTTCCCCTTTTTCGTAGTTGGAAAAGCAGGAACTTGCATCGCTAATGGGGATATTGGGGGGGGGGGTCACGTTTGCACCTAATCAAACGACTTGTGGAGGACGAGGGCGGGCTGATATGCGGACTAACGACCATGTCAATCATCGTTGACATTTCGCTTTTTAACGAATCGCCGGCACGAAGCAGCGATGTTCTCCAAATCGAAAATGTGTCTGTATAAAAGTGTAATAGCATAAAATGGAAAATATATAGCATAAAATGGAATGTGTGTTAACTACATACAATCCCCATATTTCTAGTTAGCAACTGAATTCTATTCTATTCGCCTTTCAAGGGGTGAACTCGAAAAGCGAAAGTCTAAACGTTTTGGAAAGTTTACGCGCACACTTTCTTTCATCGGTCACTTGTCAACATCACAGGAAAAAAGTGTCCAGAAGCCCAAGCTAACAAGAAGCTCTCACTGGTAAGTTCTTGAAAAATTGTGTCTAGTTAAAATATTTTACAATAATTTATGATGATGAAAATTTTTCGATTTTATTGATGAACTAACACGAACGAATATGGTTGATATTTGTATACCAGTGAATTAAATAATAATTTGAGGAGTATTTTCTATAGGAGTTTCTCGCTAAATGGGTGCTCTTCCGTTTCGTTAGCTTTATGGATGCTTCTGTAAATTTAAGTTTATAACCTGCATGGAGAATCTCACGCCAGTTACAGTAAGAGCAATATACTTCTGTAAACTCCTACTCGGTCTCTTCGTGCCGCCTATTAGTCTATATTTGCATTTTAGATTGAAATATGGACAATGCCATTAAAGCGTTTTCTGACTATTAAGCGCTGTCGAATATATCAATCATACATAATTTATTTGCGGAAGCAATGATCAGAGCAATTAAAGCGATGCATAGTATTTTAATAATTCTGGATTTTTTTTCTGCAGAGGTGGTACAAAAATGAACGTTTAAAGTGCGGTTCCTTTCCAGGACACACCTCTTACCGTCCTGACTTCGCCTTCTCTGCGGCCAGGAAAGCCAGGTGTTCATTTAGACCACTTCCCCTCACTGTTCTGTCGCTTCTGATGGAGGTCTACGAAGAGGCTATCGACTATTTGCAGACGTACAAAGTTGCAGGTACAGAGCTCGGCTTGTAAACCAGCTAAGGAGCTTCCGTTGCAATGCATTTATCATCAAAGTTGGCGCTTAACGAGAACCGTTAAGCTCAGTGGTTTGTTCGCCCTGGCAGATCCGGTGAGGAAACGGGAATCTGTGTATTTACGTGCATGTGAGCTCCTGTATAGTTACGTCTGTAATGAATCAGTATTAAGATAACATTTTGACCTTGGTCTAATCAAAGAAAGCGCAGGATGAAATCGCTGGAAATTCAAACTTTAGGTTTCCTCGTATTTGTTTTATGTCGTTTGCAGGAATGGACAAAGTGGAGCCAGACCTGATAGAGGACGTATTTGCAGTGGAAAATGAAGATGAGTTTATGTCCAACCGTTTGCAAGCACCGAGCACAGTCCTCCCTGAAGATGGGTTTATCTCAAACACCCTTCCAGGAGACAGCATCGACCTTCCGGATACACCAGTGAGTGATCAGATAGATTCAGTTGTGGAAATGGCACGTCGATTGCTGGTGAAACTTCGGAAAATCTCACTTGTGCTGGGAGCACAGAGTCATCTGTTAACCTGGATGCGATGACCAGTCAGAGCTCCTAATTAAGTCATGTGACCTCAGTTATGATTCTTTTGCAGACTGATTGGGCCCCAGACATCCTCCTGGAGAAGAGGCTGGTGGTTCTTAGGAGTATCCTGAAGAGTGAGCAGCAGTACCTCAGTGAACTGGAGACCCTGCTGACTGTGAGTGTGACCCATACCTGGAGCTGCGGCCATTTTCAGGTCACATGACATTTTCAATAAGAGTGTGGTTTATTGGGCCTCCAATCTACATATACCTTTTATGGTGATTTCACAATTCACATTGATGGATTTTATTGTATATTCACTGTATGGTACTTTTGCATTTTCTGTCTCCTCATCCAAAGACAATGAAACTCTTCAATAGATAATTGTAGAGGCAGGCACAAATATACGCAGCGTAACAGAGAAGCTAACCCATGTTCAGCGAGGCTGGGTGTTCTTGTAGCAAGTGAACTTGTACAACTTCACACCTGAGTACTCACAAATGTTGTATGTCTACAGAAATAGAAGATAAAAAGTGCATAAGACAAAAGAAACACGGGTGCATTAAAACAAAACACTCCTTCTGGTCTGTTATAAGTAAAATATAATTAAAAAATGCATCTGGAGACAGAGGTTTAGGAAGCTTCTTGATTGTGAATAATTCTCACCTGGGTTCTGATAATTGCTTCCTCTGACCAGAATAATCACTGGAGTTGTTCGGTTATTAACATGCGGTTATTGGTGGACTGATGATTCTTTGAGCTGGTGAGTCTCATTTCAGCACCGTCTACAGCCTCTGGTGGTGGTATTTCTGTCTGCGTATATGAAAGTGGAGGTGTATGTATTTATAGGTTTTGGTTCCGAAAGGTTTGCTCAGGTTAGACTTAGTGTATTGCAACTGCTGTCTAGCAGGGTCTGTGTGTGTATGTGTGTGTGTGTGTTAGAGAGAGAGAGAAAGAGAGGGAGAGAGTGTGTGGGTCAGATGTACATTAAATTGTGCATACCAAATGTCCCTACAATGTGATAAAAACCTGCTATTTTGACTGAAAAAATGTTCCCCATAAGGGGAAACTCAGTTTAATAAAAATATGTACATGCAGTCAAAAAGTTTGGTTGCTTATGGTCAAGGTTAGGGCTGGGTAAGGGTTAAGGTTGTCATTGTTGGGATTTGGGTTTTACCTATAGAAATGAATGGACGGTCCCCACAAAGATATGAGTACAGGTCTGTGTGTGTGTGTGTGTGTGAGTTCCCATGCCAATGCAGACGTGTTTACGGGTGTGTGTCTGTGCGTCCACGCCCCGGGTATGTATGCAAGGGCCTTTTCCCCTTCACGGCTCATGTTTCTGCCTCTCATGCACACATTTTCAGCCGTTTGGCTCGCACTTCTCCCCAGCATGAATTAATAGACAACGGTGCATTAGGCAGCGTGTAAACGGTTTCACACACACACCAGGCATGCAATCTTGTACAGCAGTTTTATGCTCATGAAAATTGATACTCGATGACCTTCATGGAGTATATATTATGAATTAATATATTAATTTTAAAGATATTTCTGGTGGAGTTCTTACACCCCGTGCAAGTCTTTGTGTGTCTGAAAGTCTATTTGTAGCGTTATTCAATGCAAATTTTTCATGACAATGAAGCTGATCACATAAAGGTTCTCATCATCGCAGTCTATTCTGCTTTACTTCCCATCTTAACCTTATATAGCCGAGGTTCTCCATTTCGCTTGTCACGTTCAAGATCATCACTTCCCCATCTCGGAGAACTTCTGTGGGCACCAAAGTTTAAAATGATAGCAAGGCTGCTGGAAAATGTTGCGACAGAGGCCTGATTCTCTCGCCTCCGGAGAGTCGAAGCCCACAACTTGAGGTGTTTTAGCTGACATTTCCGATGTAGGACTAGTGGACGATTTCAAGTGCAAATGTCCAACTAAACGAAGTCTACGTCTATGTTGGGGCTGGCCTCAAGATTTTAAGGGGGGGGCAGTCTTTTAAGTGGACAGACAATCCATATCCACACCCCTGGATGGGGGAGGAACCAGCAAATAGGCTCATTTATTTAAGCATCTTTCCTGTGATATTTTTTATTTTTTTTTTGGGGGGGGGGGGCAACACACTGGTGTAAGTCTAAATACTTGTGTGTTTCCCAGGAATAAGCTGAATGGCATTGTTGCAGTTCCCAGGGTGCATTGCTTCCACTGTTACTCTGAGTGTTACTCTGATCTCCTGCTTACTTCAGTACAGTGGAATTTGAGTTTCAGGCTTTGCATTAAAATGTACTTTTCTTATTTGGTATACAAGAGAATTTATTATTTAAACACTTTCTTTTATCTGTGGCTGTAGTGACTGAATGAAGTTTTCACTGCAGTATAACACAATACAGAGACTGTACTATAGCCCATAGCATACTGCACTGAATGAAGTTTTCACTGCAGTATAACACAATACAGAGACTGTACTATAGACCATAGCATACTGCACTGAATGAGGTTTTCACTGCAGTATAACACAATACAGAGACTGTACTATAGACCATAGCATACTGCACTGAATGAGGTTTTCACTGCAGTATAACACAATACAGAGACTGTACTATAGACCAT